GCCTTATGATTTCATTTATTCTTTAATTCTTCCTTCTCTCCTCTAAAATTCAATTTATTACCTCTTGCATATAAATCAAAACAACCACTCATACAATCACACTTATTCTTTATTCCTAATTGTCACGCACAAAATATAAGAACCAAGTTTAATAATCTCTTAAAATCACCTTCTTCGTGGGATCGATATCTTTTTATACTATAACTTGATAAATTGTGCACTTGCAATTTTGGTACATAATTATGCCGCATCAATTGTGTGTATAGAAAGGCGCACAGGGTCCAATTCTTGAAAAGCAATCACAAGAGCAGAGGTATACTAGATTATGTGCACACGGATGTTTGGGGTCCGGCTCAGACAACTTCCAAGGGTGATTCCAGGTATTTTGTCTCGTTCATAGACGATTATTCAAGGTATGCTTGGATTTATTTTCTTAAGCATAAAAATGAGGTATTCAAGACATTCAAGAAGTGGAAAGCAATGATTGAGAACAGGACAGGCAAGAAATTGAAGACACTGAGATCTGACAACGGTACAGAGTATACAGACGGTGCTTTCAAGGAGTTCTGTGATCAGGAGGGCATTGTTCGACACTGGACAGTTAGGTCAACACCACAGCAAAACGGGGTCGCGAAGAGACTGAACCGAACATTGCGGGAGAAGGTAATGAGTATGCGATCTTATGCTAGATTGGGCAACGAATTGTGGGCAGAAGCGGTGGCTACAGCATGTTACATTGTGAATCGTTCTCCACATTCGACATTGGATGGTGATACACCCTATAGGGTGTGGTTAGGGGAACATGCGAATTATGAGAGGCTCAGAATTTTCGGATGTACCGCCTATTATCACGTCAACGAGGGAAAGCTTGACGCGAGGGCCAAGAAGGCGGTATTCTTGGGGTATGCAAAGGGCGTAAAAGGCTACCGCCTTTGGTGTACAGAAGATTCAAAGTTCGTGATCAGCAGGGATGTTACCTTTGATGAAAAATCCATGATTGCTAGGGCGCCCAAGGATGATGGTGTTGGGACTGTTGGGACTTCAAAGTCCCAGGTTATTGAGATAGAACCTAAAGACCAACCAGGTTCTAGTCATGTTCAAGTGGAAAATCAGGTAGATGATGAGCTTGAGCAAGAGGAGGTTCAGC